ATTTGGCATGACTATGTCTTTAGTGAAGTAGAACACATTTTTGAATTTAAAAAAAAATGTGCAAGTTCCCTATTGCAACCACACCTTGTTTCAATTTGTATTTATTCTGCAAAAGAGAGCAATTCGTTTAATCGCAGAGGTGGGCTAAGGTGATTCCTGTTGTCCATTATTCAGATCAAAAAGCATCTCACCCTCCCCTGTATATTTATTTTAGAAACGGCATGTTTGATGTATGTATATGAAGCATCGACACAGCATAGGCAATGGTCAGAAAATCTCAAGCTACAGAACAAGACAAACTTTCCACATCGGTTTCCCCATACCTAAATCAACCCTACTTCAGAAATATGTGGTATAAAGTCCGTATTACATCTGTGTATTTCTCCGTGTATTTCTACATGTATTTATACATGTATAAATTCATGAATTTCTTCACGAGATCAGCTGTTTCACATTCATGTTTTTTCAATAGCAAAAATACGCGAAATTTCAATTGTACCAACCTCTCTCAAAAGTACATATTTGTCACTTCAAATTGTCAAGTTTCAGTGTTCTGTGCTTCCAGTTTTTGCAGTGGCAATTTAATTTATTCGCGATTTCTTCATAAAATGTTAAATTCAAAACTGAAAAATAAGAAAAGAAAGGCAGCTTTACTTTGCATCATTGCAGCATGCTCCTTGCTGCTAAAGGAAGATGATTTGAAACCAAAACAAAGGCGTTGGTGGGTGAGGCCTTGGTTATTGAACAAAAAAATGGGAGGTTTAAGTTTAATTGATAGATTTAGAGATGATCCTGGCCAATTTAAGCAGTTTTTAAGACTGGATGAACACTGTTTTAGGAAACTTCTAAACCTAGTTAAACGCAGGCTCACCAAAAAGAAAACATTTTTCAGAGAATCAATTTCAGCTAAACAACAACTTATTGTCACACTAAGATTTTTGGCAACAGGCGAAACCTTCAGAAGTCTGATGTACGCTTTTAGAATTCATGAATCCACCATCTCATTATTTGTACCAAATGTGTGCCAGGCAATATATGACTCCCTCAAATCTGAATATTTGAAAGTAAGTGCCATTACCGAGACAATGAGTGATAATTAACTACATAGGTATAAATTGTGTGCATTTAAAGTTGATATATTAATTTCATTTTTATAATTTTTTAGATTCCTCGAGAGAAAGTAGACTGGTTGAAAGTTGCAAAGGACTTTGAAGACATATGGAACCTGCCGCATTGTATAGGAGCACTTGACGGAAAGCACATCTTGTTCAGACCCGCGCGTAGTGCTGGTTCAACTTTCTTTAATTATAAAGGACAAAATAGCATAGTTTTACTAGCTTTGGTAGATGCTCAATATAAATTTCTTTATGTAGATGTTGGCAAAAATGGTAGGATGTCTGATGGAGGTGTTTTTAGGGACAGCACTTTGGCTTTGGCCATTGATAGAAACACTTTGAAGTTTCCAGAAGACAAAAGTCTACCAGGAAGACATAAAAAAGTTCCTTACGTGTTTGTTGCAGATGCTGCTTTTCCCTTATCAGAAAGGATTTTAAAACCATTCCCATTCAGGGATATGACTGAGGAACAAAGGATTTTCAACTACAGACTCAGCAGAGCTAGAAGAGTAGTAGAAAATGCATTTGGAATATTGGCTAATCGGTTTAGAATTTTTTTGACAACCATTGACTTAAATGAAAGGAAAGTCGAGTTAATAACTTTGGCTTGCTGTGCACTACATAATTTTTTGAGAACAGATTGTCCAACATCTATTGCAGTGGATGAGTATGACAAAAATTATAAATCTATACATGCTTTGAGTGTCCAAGGTATGAATAGACCAAAAAATTCTGCAATTGATATAAGGAATGAATTTATGCAATATGTTAATAATGAAGGGGCTGTTGGTTGGCAAAATAATTTAGTTTAGACTGAGAAACTATGTTTTTTTTTTCCAAAGAATTCAATAAATGTTTGAGAATGACCTTTTAACTCAGAAAAAAAATGTTTCAAAAAGTATATTGATGAAATGATGTATAAATGATTAAAACTGATGATTCTGATCTTCGTCTTGTGCATCGAACAACAGTTGCGATATACTCCTCTTGAGTTTGTTAAGAATTTGAGGGCTCTTGATATTCCTCAATTCTGATCCAACCATTCTAAAAACATAAAATCATTACTAGGTGTATTGAACTAGTAACCAGGGCCGGTATTCTGGTCCTCGAAAACGCTCACCGCTTTTCAGTCGCTTGGACTTCTAATGTAAATTTGCATTAAAAGTGCCGAGCGACTTAAACGCGGTGAGAGTTTTCGGTAACGAGAATACCGGCCCAGTGCCCGCTCCAGCGTTTACGTCGCCCCGGACAAAAAGAAAAATTTTCGCCTCATTTACCGCCGATATGTTTTTTTCCTACAGCCGTGCGGAAAAATCGATTTTCCGCACTGATATGCGTGCGGAAAATGAGTTTTCCCGCACGGTGCGGTAAAACTATTTTTTTCGACATATCAGTGCGGAAAAAGCTTTTCAGCACGGCTGTCAGTGCGGAAATTTTTTTACCGCACTGATAGTCAAAAAACGCGTCCTTCGGTGAACGGCAGCCGCGTGCGGAAAAATTCATTTTCCCCACTTGTTAGGTAAATAGCTTTTCGTCAGAAATATGAATATTACTTTTTGCTTTTAGGCAAAAAGAGTGCGGAATGTGAATTGCAAGTTAACTTTCAACAATAGTTTGTCACATCACACCAAAAAGGCCGACTTTTATTTTTGCGGCCCCAGACAAAATAATGTCCGGGTCGTCCGTCCCTAGAGCGGGCCCTGTAGTAGCATACTGTGCAAAATTTCCAATATGGTCTAGTGCTTCCGTTGAAGTTTCCTGACCTAGCAATGAAGAAGCCTGTTGTAATAAACTCATAGTAGACTGATGTTTTTCTTCGTCATTTATTTTTCTTTTTTTTCTTTTATCAGAATAGCCAGGTTGGGAGCTAGATTCGCCATGAAAATGTGAAGCACTCGGTAAAGCCTGTGGAGTTGAAACTATTGGAACATTTTCAACATTGTCTTCAGACTCTAGTACTTCGAGATTGTCATTAAAAAAAATGTCCTGTAATAAATGATAACTTCAATATTATTAGTTGAAAAAGCAGTCCATGACTCAAAGTGGAGTTGAAATTTAATGTCCAGAGAAAACAATGTCTTCCTGCCCCGGTACATAGGTATCCACCTCATGATGTAAATAAATAATACATAAATTTACCGGTAACTCTTCAGAATCATCTATGTCTCGTGAATTTTCAGATTGTTCTTGAGAGCTCAAATTGGATGAGCTTTTCCTAGTTGTGGAACTATTACTCAAAAATTGCAATAAATCGAAGCACCACCAAGTAGGTTTGTAGACATATGTAGCGCCGGCTCCACTTCTTTTACTTTTATTAATTTTATTATTTTCATTAAAAAATTGGCTTCTGAGTCCATTTTTTTTTTTTTTTTATATCGGCTTGGGTTAATAATGCTGCTTCTGGATGAATTTGAATAAATTCGTTCAGAATTTGTTTCAGCTTCATCTCTCTGTTCGTTTTATTTTTATATATTTCTTTGTGAACGTCATAAATATCTGGATACTTTTCATAGAGGCTAATTAAAGTTTTAGTTTTTTCTCTAGTGAAGTTCAATTGAAATTCCATCTATAAAATCAAGAAATTTTTATTTAAAGTACAACAGACACAAAAAGAGTACTCTATTTACCAAAAATGAAGGTATTTTCTAGTAGGTTTATAGGTATCAAACACATAACAACGGATGGTAAGGTACTTACAATTTTTGAAGGAACAGCGCCAGTTATAAACAGCAATAAGGTCGAAGGAATTGTTTGATTTGATTCCAGCTCAGATCGAACACAATCAATCACAAATTGACAAATAATTTGATATATAACCAGAAACCGCCAAAATTTAAAAAAGGTTATGAGTCGTCTGTTGGTAGGGTTGGTAGCACTAGAATACTCGAAAAAATACAATGTAATACGGGCTTTAATGGAACAGGTTTTATTGCTTGTATTTATACATGTATTAATTCAAGGTCAAATACACGGTAATATTTCCGCTTCACATTCGTGTATTTCTTCATGTATAAATACATGTAGAAATACATGTAGAAATACACAGATGTAATACGGACTTTAGATTCCAAAAAAATATTCATCACCTACCACTTGACATTCGCGTGTTACAGTCTGACAGCAGGTTCAAAAGCACGGTGAAAAAAATATTGCTAGCTCGAGCATACTATTCGGTAGAAGAGTACTTTCAGGACACATTTTAAATTGTATAAATTGTATAAATTGTAGCGTTTGTCATTGACCTTATTATTTTTATATGGCTTAGTTTTAAATTGAATTGGACTGTAATTTTGATTAGTAATTAATTGTAAGGCTTTGTAGGGTTGTGGCTTTATTAATGAATTCCATGAATTTTGAACATTAAAGCATATTTTGATTTGATTTGAATAAACCAAGATATTCGCATTAGAAAGGTATTTTTCAGAGCAAAATATTGGTCCCCAAAGTCCAACTGAATGTAGCGTAAATTACATAATTGTATGGGGCAACCAATTTGCTAATGTATTTGAATAATTTCATAGATACCAATTTTAACAATGAATAGATACTTAGGCACAATTTTTTTTCATAATATTAGTCAATATGTTAGCTATCAGTAAAATTTACAAATTAAAATACGGACTTTGCACCTAATTGTTTTGAGAAACATATTTACATTTCAAGTTTTCGATTCCAGATCTAAATTTAACAACAATTAATTATTTTACCATTATGAAGGTTTGCAGTAATTACCTTCCTCAACTAAAAATGTAATATCATAGGCTGTAAATTGGCATTTAATTATTATTATTATTGTTTTAATATGAACAAAACAAAAACAAACTAAAATTAGAATTGTAAATGTTATGGTACACCAATGAACAAATCATTAAAAACGCTGATAAGATATAGAAATTTTCCTTTGGTTATATAAACGATTTATTCGTTATTTGAACAGACAGTACCTTGGTGCACTCTCAGTGACAAATATAACTATCTGAAATATGTAAGTAATAACTACTAAATCTATTCAGTCACACTACATAAATATTTATAGCGGTAATTATAAACTATTTTTAGAACAATTTTATTATAAATAGGTACCTATAAACATTATAGTATGTAATTGTATTTTTCCCAATATTGTAATTTACTTGAGAATTTTATGTCCAATGGATAATCTTTTAATCTTAACTAAATTATTTATAATAAAGATACCATTCTTTCATTAATAAATATTTGCAAGATAACAAAAAAACATTATGCCTTAAAAATATTATCAACATAAAATAACATTTTGAAATACATTTGGTAATTAAAAATCTCAACATTATTCAAGATTATATTTCCCCAATAATGCCTACTCACTGGAACTACCCCGATCAAGCTCTCCAAGAGGAGCTTAGCAGAATTGCCAATGCCATTGTGGCACCAGGAAAAGGTATCTTGGCAGCAGATGAATCTGTGGGTACCATGGGCAAGAGATTGATGGATATTGGTATGGAAAATTCCGAGGAAAATAGACGTAAATACAGGTAAGAATAATTGCTTTCTTCTACCAAAAAAATTTAACTGATTGAAAAGAAATCAGCATTTACATCTCTAATCATTTGCCTGATTCAATTAAAAATATTCAGTCTCCTTTAAGATTTAAGAAGGAACTAAAGAACTTTTTACTTAGCAAACCGTATAGGGGGGTTGTTTGATAGTGTTTATGCTGCCACATAAATTGTGAATTACTTCCCTCGGTACCTGATCAATAATTGTACAAAAGTTTAGGTTCATTTTAATTTTTTTACTGGCTTCTCCATCTGCAGTCAATATTTTAATACATTGTGTAGGGTAGTACATAAGATTTTTATTTTGAGTATTACTTATACAATATTGTCCTTTTAGCTTATCAAGTTTTAGATTTAATATGCTTTGTTATAAGATCTTTCTTTCTTCCTATTTCAGGCAACTTCTTTTCACCACAGACCGTGAAATCGGCAACTACATTTCCGGAGTGATCCTCTTCCACGAAACTCTGTATCAAAAGGCAGACGATGGCACTCCATTCCCCGAATTAATCAAAAGCAGGGGAATGATTCCCGGCATCAAAGTAGATGCTGGAGTGGTCGACCTTTTCGGCAGCGACGATGAATCAACCACACAAGGCTTAGACGATTTGGCCAGACGTTGCGCCCAATACAAAAAGGACGGTTGCGAATTTGCCAAGTGGCGTTGCGTCCTCAAAATCAAAGAGCACACTCCATCGATGCAAGCTCTCATGGAAAACGCCAACGTTTTGGCCAGATATGCTTCAATCTGCCAAGCCAACAGACTCGTGCCCATTGTGGAACCAGAAGTTTTGATTGATGGCGACCATAGCTTGGAACGTGCCCAAAAAGTCACTGAAACCACTTTGGCTTTTGTTTACAAGGCTTTGCAAGACCATAACGTGTTTTTGGAAGGTACTCTGTTGAAACCCAACATGGTTACTGCTGGACAAAGTCATGCGATGAGAATGAGTCCAGAGGATATCGCCAGGGCTACTGTTATAGCTCTACAGCGTACTGTACCTGTGGCCGTACCTGGAATTACCTTTTTGTCTGGAGGTCAATCTGAAGAAGAAGCCACTATCAACTTGAACGCTATCAATCTGTAAGTTTTTGGACAATAATTTTTTTCACAACTAATCGACTTATACATTTCATGGTAGACATCAAGGCAAGAAACCATGGGCTCTTACTTTCAGCTTTGGACGTGCCCTTCAAGCTTCGGTTCTCCGTGCTTGGGGTGGCAAAGACAATCAAATTCAAGCCGCTCAAATGGAGCTTTTGAAACGTGCCAGGGTATGATTCAAATTTTAAAACAAGTAAATTCATGTTTTCAAAAATATTATTTCAGGCCAACAGTGAAGCATCCCTTGGTAAATACAGGGCTGGTTCCGTTCAAGGCAAAGCTGGCGATGCTGGATTATTCGTTAAAAATCACGCTTATTAGTTATAAGGATTTGAAATATAAACAGTCATGTATACTTGGTGGCTAAATAAATAAATACTCATATTTCATCAATATTATATTTCTGAATGTAGTTTGTTTTTATTTGTAGATTCCTAGTTTTGTTATAGAACCTTAGAAATATATCTTCAACAATTATGATATTTTTCAAAATATGACAAACTTACAAAATACATTTTTACTTATTCTGTCCATCTATGAGCGCAATGAGGATTGGTGCAGACGTAGTACAATCTCATTTCTTCTTCAGCTCTGCGGGTTTGGGCTTGGAAAAATACCGCCTCCCTGTAAAAGAATAATATAAAGATATTTAGTAGTTTTATTAATAATTTATAACACAAGCTCTAATCAACTACCAATTTGAACAACTTTATGAATCGGTGTGTGAAATTTTTTCAAGTCTGTCAGATACATATTACCTATTAACGTTTCCCAAGTATAGATTTTGGTGAACTTTTTCTCCAAGGTACCTAGTACTTATCTTTGTTAAATTCTGATAAACTTACAAATTTTCAACAGTACATATTTTTTTTTAAAAAAAAAGTCTTTATTAGACAAATATGTATAATGTACAATTGCTATTGATTGTTAATTGAAAATTTCTCAATTGAATTATTAGAAGAACAAATCACTAATTTTATTCCTTTACATTCTTGGAATGAGTTTAATCTTCAATAAAATATAAAATATTATCAGGGATAATACCACGAGAGCTTCAAAATTACCGATAATTTTTCACGATTGCGTGTTTTCTATAATTTCACGAGTCCGTAGGACGAGTGAAATTTGCAGAGAAAACACGCATGACTGAAAAATTATCTGGTTCATTTTAAAGCTCAAGTGGTATTTAAAGGATTATTTCACGTATGAGAATGCAAAAAATATGGAAATAAATATATATTAAACGATTTGAACATCTTAACAATCAATACAAATAAATGGTTGCTATCAGGAACCGTTTGTTTGTATTAAAAATTAGCATGACAACCATGTATACAATAACATGGGAGAATTATCGCTGTAATTCTCTCTAGTTAAACAAATGGAAAAGAGAATTTTCGCTGTAATTCTGAAATTCGTCACTTGTCTTATGGGATTTCTAACACATGAGTGGAATAATCATAGAAATTTTCATTCGAGGGGTCATTCACAATGGGATATCTCGAGAAAAGTCAACGGTTCTCTTTAAAATTTTCAGATTTTGTGATTTGCTTATATTTCGAGATCTCTCATCTAGTTTATAGCGTTGATTTTTATAGCTGTTTTGATTTGGTCAAATTTAAAGCTAAAATGCAGCTCAGATGACAAAGATAGAGTTTTTGAGCACCTTATCAGATTCTATGATTTGCTCATATTTTTCCTGAGCCTCGGATCCAGAGAAAGATTGGAGAAGCTTTTCGTTGGTTCATAAATCTTGAAGCCACTTTTTGAATTTCTCAGATTCATATCAAGAATGTTGGTGTAGTCGAGTGTTTTTTTTTTTTTTCTTTAATACTTTGATTTTTTACTCCAAATGTTGTCTAAATTATGAACATTTGAAACAAATTCAAGAGTCTGGAATAGCAAAACTTATTGTTGGTAGGTACTCTGTTCAATTATTTATATATTCGATTGATATTTGCCAATCTATGGTCACTGTGGCAGGAATTAATTTTTTTAATACATTTTTTTCCAAATTAAGGCAGTTAATGATAATTATTGCTATATGAATGGGTTTTCGACACACAAAGCCCACTTGATTTTTGTCAATATTGATGGTGGGTTTTCAAAATGGGTTTTTGTGTATGCCAACCCCTGGGGGAGATTCAAGAAAATTAAAGAAGATCTATGGGAGGTGTGAGGGATATCTGGAGAAATCTGAGGGAAATCTTACTCTTCTATTGATTGAGAATATTCTAGAATCTAGAGGATATCATGTTACAAGGTTTTCCACTGAAATAAAAAAAATATTTATACCTCATATTGCAATAAATGTAGCTTTCATATTGCCAGGAAAGTAATAGATAAAGAGAAAATCCACATGTCGTGTTGAGGAGAATACCTCGGGAGTTGTGGATAGCCAAATGTCCACTTGAGCTGAAATTCTATGAAATCCCTGAAAAATTAGGGAGATCTAGCGAAATCTTAGAAATCTGAAGAAATTTTAGGGATAATCTGGGATATGTAAGGGAAATCTGTGGACATCTTTCGCATAAAGATATGTCTTGTACACTTAAATTATGTTGCGAATAACCCCTCGTTTTTATTGTTTTGAGTTTTGATAAAATTGAAAATAATAATTTTAACTCGAATTTAAATTTAAGTCAAAATTCAAAAATTGATTTATAGTGTGGTCAAATTGGCAGTTGTGGTGGAACAAATTAAAAACAAGTGTTTTTCAACGAAAATGTTGTTTTTATGGTCATTAATGACATACTATTTATTTATTTATTTATTTATTTATCCAGCAAAAGAAAAATACATTTCATAAATTTTCAACTACATTTTAATATTACATCCTTTTTTAGTAGCTTATATGCACTTTCCTCTACTGCTGAAACTATTAGGTACACAATGATGTTTAAAATACTCTGTGTGTACCCAAAAATTTAATACCTCTCTAATTTATTGTCTCCTTGTTTATAAAGTGGTATTATAACTGTAGTTTTCAATATTTCCAGTGTTTTAACGGCTCGGAAAAAAACCGGTTTTTTTCCTGTTTTTTTCTGAGAGTGTTGAAAAAAACCAAAATATGGAAAAAATCAAATTTAATTTTTTCTTAAATATTTCTCACAGAAAGGTGAGAACAGAACAAAAACGAAATCATAAGCATAGCCACGCATAGCATAAGCTGCATAAGTAACAGTAACATTAGATATCAGATTCTAAAGACTCATCAGAACATTCAAAACTTTCTACTTCAGAATCAGAACAATCTTCATTAGGATTTGGAGCCTCGTTTGGACTTGTCAAATCCAATAGTAGTAGAAAGAATATTAGACTGTTTTGTTTCTGTTGTACACAACGTTAAATAGTCATATTGTTAGCCAACAATGGTAAATATATTAAAATTTAAAAAATTGAATTTTCCCAAATTGATCGTTTTTTTTTCGGAAAAAAATCCGTTTTTTTCCCGGTTTTTTTCCGAATTTCAAAAAAACCCGTTTTTTTAAAACACACCCAGCTGTATGCAACATCCTATTTCAACTTAAAAGCGCTTTTTAAAACGGGTACCTTTAAAAATTTGTATGGTTTACAATACAGATTTTTAAAAGTGATCAGTTTTAAAAAGCGGTTTTAAGTTAAAAGAGGATGTTGCATATAGCTGTAAATATTTGAAACAACATTGATATGTTTTAAAGGCTTCACTAGGGCCCCCTTATACTGTTTTATTATATTCGAGCAGATACAGTCCTCACTGCCTTTAACCCCTTTTTTAAACTATTTATTTGTTTGAGAATTTCATACATCTGTCAAAACTGGTATTCCAACAATAAACTGACATGTTTTGATTGTTGATTTAAACCACTCAGATTGGAATTACGCGATAATTTGCACTAGTGCAAATTATCAGATAATTGCATAGTAACTGGTGCAAAAACTGGTGTTTTGAAATTTTTTGACAAAAAAATTTGAATTTTTGATTTATGAAATTCTCTCATTAAATACAACTCGTGCAATGGAAATATATTTATAGTTTTCGACAAATTTGCACTCATGCATTTTTAACTGAAAAAGGCACTCGTGCTCTTTTTCAACTAAAAATGCATTCGGGCAAATTTCCCAAAAATTATCAATAATTTCCATTGCACTCGTTATATTACTATTGATAATCTCTGTCTCAGTCATTGGAAATAACACAAAAGAATTCAATACTCTATTCCTATGCAAGTCTATATTTTGTTTAGATATTTTATCCGCTAATTTTTTACCAATGGTACAAAAAAAATTATTGAATTAATGTGCTATTTCCTTTTCATCATTGATTCCAGTGTTATTTTCTCCTACTATAGATTTTATTTCACTTTTTGTAATACTATCATTTGTAGCCTCTTTTATTACATTCCAGAGTTTTTTTGGGTCACCAGCGTTTCTTTCTGCTTTTGCTCTATAATAAGAATAGCTATTTACCTAACAAGTGCGGAAAAATATTTTCCGCAAGTGTTAGATACAATATTTTTCCTACAGACGAAAACATGTAAAATTTTTCTTTTTTTTTTGACATATCAGTGCGGTAAAATTTTTTCCGCACTGACAGCCGTGCGGAAAAACATATGTCAAAAAAAAAAGTTTTACCGCACCGTACGGGAAAACTCATTTTCCGCACGCATATCAGTGCGGAAAATCGATTTTTCCGCACGGCTGTAGGAAATAATTATTTGCCTTTTTTATCAACTTTGAAACCATTTTTCTGTATTCATTATATTTGTTAACTGACAATACATTATTTCTATTCAAAGTACATTCTCTCTTCAGTTTATCCCTTTTCCTGATTGACAATTGACACCACCAAACCCCTAGTTATCCATGGCTTTAATTTCTTATTCTTGTTACTTATAGCTACGGATTTAGTTGAATCAATAATCAGATTTTTTAATATTGCAATAAAATTCTAAGTACATACATTAGCATCTTCCTCATCCAGAACCCCATTCCATCCCGCTCTATCAATTAAGCGTGCAACCTTTTCGTAATTAATAATTTGATAGTTTTCCTCATTTGGATTTGCTTTTATTTCTGTGTTGTCATGTATGATATTAAGCAGGATGGGATCGTGATCTGTCATCTTATGCTCTAAAATAACAGCATTAACTCTATTGAATAAGTTACCATCAGATTTAACAAAAAAGTGATCGAGACATGATTCTGAATTATTACCTTTTCTTGTTGCTTTATTAATCAGACTTGTAAAACCATTGATTTGCATTGTTGTCCACGTCGGTAGCCAGTAGATCAATGTTTATATCACCCACAAACACTTGAACTCGATTTTTGTTCCCTCTTGATTTATGAAGTATATTATTCAAATTTTCAATAAAAGTTTCCTTGTAGTTGCAAAACATCTGTATGTTGCTAGGATATCAGCTAATCTTTGTTTCTTCTGTATGGTGATTTTTTATTACTTTTAAGTTTTCTTCTATAATGATCTGAGTATCTACATAAATATCTTGTTTGATATATATTGCACAGCCATCACATTTATTCAGACTACTTTCATTAAAAAAAATAGTGTAACCTGATATATTAAAGTCAGTCTTATTATATATTTTATGTGTTTCAGACATCACTATAATATCAAAATCTAT